CCTGCTTGCCTCATTTGTCCCCACTCAGCATCCTTGGCACGGCTGCTTTCCACGTGATCAGCCACAACTAGCTAAGAAAGGCACCCCTTCCTTCAAGTACACACATCTCACAAAATAAAGGCAGAGGAGGGAAAAGACAGCTTCCACTGTCTTGGCCTTTTGAAGAGATTCATTTAATTCCCCTTCTTTCTGGTTGTATTTTTGGCCACTTTCTCTCTAGTTTCTGTTTTTCCCATTTCCTTCAGAAACTGAGTATAGGCTTTTAGGACTTTTTTCCTCATTGTCAATGCCTCTGATGGGTTCCCTTACCTGCCCTCCACTTCACTTTTTCCCTCAGGGTAATGACTGTGGCCCCTTCCTTCTTCCCTTGTCTCCTTCTAATTCCTTTTCTCATGCCTACCTGTAAGTCTTAGGCTCATGGCTGTGTTTGCAGGTCCTTTCCAAGGGTCTAGTGATCTGGGGTGCTTTCAGACTGAGACTCTGTAGGGAATTCTAGGTAGCTCTGAGCCTCATATATCCTACTTTTTTCTTCTCCCCTGACTCGTTTTTCCCAGTTTCTCCAGAATTATTTTCTTGGACTCTCACTCCCTCTTAATGCTGTAGTCCTAACACAGAGTTAAATATTCAAGAAAGAGCACATTCTCCGTGAATCTCCCCCTGCCCCGTTCAGAGCTAGCCTGTCCTCGTCTTTTGGCCCCTTTGGTGAGTACCTATGCCATGTTCTCTACCGCATCGGTGTTAATAATCACAACTCTGCAAGTTAGGTATTCTTATCACCACGTTACAAATGCAGAAACTGAGGCATAGGGAATTTAAATAATTTGCCCAGAATCACAGAGGCAGGAGGTAACAGAGGCAGGATTCAACTCCAGCCAGTTATGTGTTGGTTTGTCAGATCTGAAGTTCATTTTGAGCAGAGACAGTCCTCCTAATTAATTCTCAACCTGGCCCAATGCCTGGAATTCTGAGCTCCTGCATACCTATCACCAGGTAGAATTAAAAGGAGCAGAACTTAATGTGAGCATAGATCTCCCAGCATATCAGATCAAGCTCCCTCATTCAAGGTCCAGCATTCCTCTTGCACTGGGAGAAAGAGAAGGAATGCAGAACGGTGGGGGGCAGGCACAGCAGCACAATGTGTGTGTGTGTGTGTGTGTGTGTGTGTGAGAGAGAGAGAGAGAGAGAGAGAGAGAGAGAGAGAGGAGAGAGACCCCATAGTGTAGCTTAGAAAAGCACCTATTAAACCCGTCATCCTGGATAACTGCTCAGTTTCACAGACTTCTTTGATTCACCTCAGTCTCCCTTGTGGAATATTTTCCCTTGGAACCTGCTGTTCCTCATTTGATGCTATTATGGTATTTGTGCTCTGGACCTGCTCTCAGAGGCTGATGGGCAAATCAGTTCATTTCTACCGAATTGAGGCAGTAAGCAGATAAATAATGCAGTCGCTCCTTTGGAGTGTTCTTTGCCTTCTGGGCCATAAATCTGTTCCCATTTAACTTTAGACAAATACCTCCTCTCTGATTTGGCTTGTTCCTATAATCCAGGAGGCTGCTGACCCGGCCAGTAGGCCTAAGAGTATAGCCAAGTGCAGCTGGGAAACTAAGAGAGAACAATTGCTGTCATTGAGACTACCAGTGTGCCTCTTTGGGAGAAAGCAGGTTTGTAAAAAATCATGTGGATGAATGGGAACTTATTGGAGTTTTTTGGGTGCTGGAGGAGTGTTTTCGCCTTATCTGCCTGGAGTCCAGGTATCTGCACAGAAGCTCTGGAACCCAACTTGGACCAACCCTGTGGTTCAGCACCAATGCCTTGCTGTGTTCCCTGCTGAGGCTGTGACTTAACTCACCCACAGGCCCTGCAACTTTACTTAGCACTGAGGCTGGTAGGGTCAATTGTGTCAGTGTTCAAGGGTTCAGCCTTTATGTGTCTACTTGGCTTCTTTAGTTCTTTGGAGATAACTGTAATTCTCTAAGCATAGTTCCTGTGCCCCAAGCATGTAGCACTGGCCAGAAGGATAGATCAGACAGGCAAGTGGGAAGACCTCAGTCCAAATATGTCATCACTCATAGGGAAAACGCAGCCCTATATGTGCCCCAGGTAACGCCATCATTTGCACCTCTTCTTGAACCTGCCCCTTCCTTCCATTCCCTTAGCTTCTTTCACCTTGACCATGTCAGCAATCTCCCAACTGGTCTTCAGGCCTCTGGTTTGTGCTTCGTCTAATCCTCTGTAAGAATGCTCACTGTGAAATCACATTTGACCAAGTCACTGCCTTGTGTAAAACCCTTTGATGACTCCCACTGCCTAGAGAGTAAATCAAAGCTTGTCCACATGCATACAAGTGGCTCCCTGATCTAGCTTTTGCCGACCTTTCCAATTTTGTCTTTTTCTACTCCTCACCCTTCTCTTCCACACCTTAAGTTCCAACCATATCAACTGTGTTTATAGAACCCTGAATTACTATGGCTTTTCACACCTTAATGCATTTGCCCATTCTCTGACATATATCTGATCTGTCCCGGCTATCTATTGCTGCATAACAAACCACCCCAAAACTTAGTGGCTTAAAACAATCATGCATTATTAACACAAGTTCAGCTGAGTGGTTCTCATTTGGAGTCCCTCCTGTCATTGAAATCAGATGATGGCTGAGGCTGGAGTCATCTGAAGTTCTTTTACTTATGCCTGGCACCTGGGCTAGGATGTCTGGAACAGCTCAGACCGTCTCTTCACATGACCTCTCTCTGGAGCTACTTGGGCTTCCTCACAGTATGGCAGTCTCGGGGAAGTTGGACTCCTTATATGGCATCTGGCTTCTCCCTGAGTGTGCACTCTAAGAGACGCAGGTAAAACTTAGAGGCTTCTTATGACCTAGTCTTGGCATTCTCTCAGTGTCGTTTCCGCCATTTTCTTTTGGTCAAAGCAGTCACAGGCCAGCTGAGATTCAAAAGCATAGAGAAATGGACCCCACCTCTCAATATAAGATTCCCTTGCCTGTCTAGAGAAGGTAGGAATTGATAATGGCCATCTTGGATATAAGCAGCTACAATGCCTTTCACCCTCTTGTGTTCTCCTGGCAAACTGCTATTTATTCATTTAACACCCAGTTATACGTCGCTCTTATGAAGTCATCCCTCTCCGACCAAGGCAGAATTAGCCTCTAAGTCCAAGAAAGTTTTTCTGAGAAACTAGGAAAATAAGTCAAGAAGGAACACTGGTCCTTGAGCATATATCTGTTACCATCCTTGTCACACTGCATCGTACCTGTTGGTGTTTCTCCTACTTGACCATACTTTCTTTTTGAGGGCAGAGCTATACCTGATTCATCTCTCTGTCCTTAAGATCTATCTTAGCAACCAACAGAGGTGCTCAATAAATAGTGGTTGAGGTAAGTGAACTCAGTTACTGCTATTTTGTCATTTTTCCCCCGTGACTCTTGGAGTCAAGCAATCAGTCAGACACAAAGAATTTGAGGATCCCCTCCTATGTACCCAGCAAGTCAGCTTCCATCAGGGGGCTTCAGTTCTCTGTAATTTGGACTTCCACAAAGATAATAACTATAATATTGAGTGTGTATTGAATGTTCATCATGTGCTAGGCATTGTTCTAAGCACTTCATATGTATTAATCAGTCCTCACAATCTCATCTTACCTGTTATTATTGCTATCTTATGGATGATGAGACACAGGGAGGCTAAGTAATTTCCCCAAGGTCACAGAGCTGAAATATAGACCGGGCTCCAGGGTCTGTATTCTTGGCCTCTGTGCTCTCCACTAATGTCCTCTCCTGAACTCAGCATTTTCAGAGCATGTTTAGCAGAACGTCACAGAGATAATAAAGGGTGTCACATTAGGAGCATGAAAACAACAAAGATTATTTAACCTGAGGAAGGCGCTAATTGGAGACAAATCCCTATGGATTCAAATAACCAAAGGACTGACTTGTTCTCAGCATCCTCTGCTGGAGTCAGGATCAGTGGTGACTCGGTGTGATGGAGAACCTTCTCATCGTGATATTCTCCTGATACTTTGGGCTACTCTGAAAAATCATGAGTCCCACACCTCTTGGAGGAATGTTTGCCAATGTCCCTTTTGACACTGATTGTCCCATTTTCCTCCACCACCTTTTTTTCCAGTTTGTGAAAAAGGTGGTATTTCCTTACTTGGCATGAGTTTTTGAGAGTGAAACTTGTTTGTTAAGCACTACACAGTTTTCCTGTGGAAAAGAGCATAGGCTGTGCATGATCATGGGTGCCCGTTCTGAGCTTCATGTACCTAGAGGCTCAGCCATCAGAGGAAGCTTAAATAATGCAGGAGGCGCGGCTCCTTGATATCTCTGGATTTATCAGGATTTACTAGGACCTATTTCAACAATGCAAGGTCCTTTTTTAAATATTGAGACAATCGTGTATCTCATCCTTTGTAAACGTCCATATTCATAATTACCAATTAGTACCCTGATCTGGCAAATTCCTGGCCACAGTGGTAACTGAAATGCCATACCGCAAAGTGAAAACTATTCCCTCTACCTATTTCCTTGGAGACATTGGCTAAGTCCACACTGATTTAATAACAGGGTTTCTCAGCCCAGCCAAAAGACGGTGAGCATCTCAGCATAATTCAGAGGCTGGAACATTTAGGAGAATGCTTATGCGAGAGATATTAGGTCTCACCGCCTGTCTCTCTCATTAACGTTGTGCTTCTTTTTCACATGGCTTATGTCTCCCAGCCAAAGACCAGTCCTCTCAGGGGGATGAAGAGAAAGACCCTCCAAAGAGCCACCCCTACTCCGTGGAGACCCCATATGGCTTCCATTTAGACCTGGACTTCCTCAAGTATGTGGATGACATCGAGAAGGGAAACACCATCAAAAGGATTCCTATCCACAGAAGGGCCAAGCAGGCCAAGTTTAGCACTTTGCCCCGAAACTTTAGCCTTCCCGACAGCGGGGCTCGCCCCCATGCTGCTCTTTCCCACCCGAACTGGCCCCCAGTGGTGCCAAGTAAGGTGTCGCTCGGGACAGGGGCGCGAGCCCAGCCACTGCCGCTCGGTGATCACCCCCAAGCCGCCGGCGGGAGCGAGGCGAGCTACCACCGGAAGGCCCTGCTGACGGAGACCGCCAGACAGCTGGAGGCTGAGGTCGCCTCCGGGAGTGGACGGCCCCAGCTCTTGAGAGCATCCAGCATGCCAGCCACGCTGCTGCAAAACAGGGCCTCAGAGGACCCAAGCCTAAACTCAGGGCCCCCTACCCCGCCCGCCCTCCCCCCACTTCAGGGCGAAGGCGGCGTCTGTGATGGCGCCTTTGGCCCCGCGGAAGGCTTTGCAGGTTTTTCCAACTCCACCCAGCGAGCAGCAGCCCAACAAGAAGTCAGAGAGTCTGGAGACCTGGTGCCAGGAACACCGGAGCTGATCCTGAAGGGGCCTGAACCTCCAGAGGGTGAAGAAGGGGCTGCAAATCGCCTCCCTTTCTCAAGTCCTCCTTTCTCATCACTTGTAGTTCTAGAGGATGCAGAAGACCGACAGGAAAGCAGACAAGCCGAGGTGGCGGTCACGACCCCCAGCTCCCCAACACCAAGCCCCCCACCTCTGCCGTCACCCGTCCCTGAGAATGAGCTCCCCCTAGAAGAAATCGAGCTCAACATCATCGAGATCCCACCGCCGCCACCTGCAGAAGTAGACGTGAGAAGCGTCGGCATCCGGGTCACGGAGGAAAGCCTGGGCCTCACCTCCGTGGATCCTGGCAGCATCTCCAGCCTGAAGCAGCAGCTCTCGGGCCTTGAGGGTGAGTTGTCTGGAAGAACTGAGGAACTAGCCCAAGTCAGAGCTGCCCTCCAGCGGCAGGAGGAGGAAATCAAGGCTAGGGGGCAGAGGATTCGAGAGCTAGAGCGCACTGTAGCTCAACTGACAGAGAAGCTTAGCCACGAGAACACCAAAGATGCTCAGGGCCAGACTGATGCCATGGTCAACACTGACCCTCTGCACGGACTCTTGACCAGGGAGTCATGTGACAAGAGCATTGGGGTCAACCTTATGGGCAGCACAAGACCTGAAAGCTGGGGGGCCTGGGGAAAGGGGAATGGCGTCCTGTGGAGGCAGGAGAGTCACACATGGGGGGATTGGAGCCCAGCAGAATTTGTGTCACCGTCCCAGCTGTCACTGCCACAGGGATCCAAGATGGTCCTCACCCCCTCTTTACATAGCTGCCTCTCCACTGAGCTCAGGATCGACGAAGGACGCTCTGACCAGGAGGGAGGCCATCAGGTGGGAGCCGAGGGTCCAGTCAGGGGAGCAAGAGGCTCTCCAAGGAGCAGCGAGAGAAAGGCTCCCCCAGCAGGGAGGAAGGAGGCTGGCTCAGAGCTCCCAGGGAAGGATCGCCCAGGAAGGCCACCGAGCTCGCCCACCACCGATGCCACTATTGGGCAGTACATTAAGAAGATCCAGGAGCTCCTGCAGGAGCAGTGGAGCTGCCTGGAGCATGGGTACCCGGAGCTGGCCCGTGCCATCAAGCAGCCCGCCTCCAAGCTCAGCAGCATCCAGACCCAGCTACAGAGCTCCCTCAACCTGCTGCTGTCCGCCTACTCGGCCCATGCTCCACCCCAGAAGGAGCCCCCGGGCCCCTGTTCCTCCCCGCCGACTGGTAAATACTGGTGCCTGAGTCGGGGAACCATTGCTCCTTGACGAGTCAAAGGGGAAAAGGGTTTTAATTGCATGCACATGTTTTTTTTAAAAAAAGGTTTAAGCACATCCAGGAACGCGGTGGAATAAAAACTGATCTCTGCGACAGTGGAGGCTTGGAACCTCTGCTCTTGTCCTTGCTCTAACGTTGGGACTGACTGCAGGGCCACCACATACAGCCGTTCACATAGCACAGGGCACAAAGATGCCAGAGGGTAAACGGGAGCTGAAACCCAGCCCACGCTTGCCAAGCCTGCAGCACTGTGTGTCTGCCCAGAGAGGTGCCTCTTTCTCATTTGCATTGTGCGAAGGCAGTGTCTAGGGTGAAGAAAGGCCCTGGCTGTGAGTGCTTTAAACCTCTGCTTCCCTTAATTGTTTCTTGGGCTCTTGCATTCCTGTGGTCCTGCCCAGTTCTTGCACATTAGAGGTTTTTTGTAGCCTTGTTTTGGAGGATCATTATATTGAGAGCTGAGATATTTTACTGAATTATTTTTTTTCTCTCTCTCTCTCCCTCTGTGTCTGTGTGTTCTGTGTGTGCTTTCTCATTTGCATTGTGCGAAGGCAGTGTCTAGGGTGAAGAAAGGCCCTGGCTGTGAGTGCTTTAAACCTCTGCTTCCCTTAATTGTTTCTTGGGCTCTTGCATTCCTGTGGTCCTGCCCAGTTCTTGCACATTAGAGGTTTTTTGTAGCCTTGTTTTGGAGGATCATTATATTGAGAGCTGAGATATTTTACTGAATTATTTTTTTTCTCTCTCTCTCTCCCTCTGTGTCTGTGTGTGTCTGTGTGTGTGTGTGTGTGTGTGTGTGTGTGTGTGAGAGAGAGAGAGAGAGAGAGAGAGAGAGAGAGAGAAATTGGGCGATACTCACATGTGGAAGTCGACCCTTTGGCGGAGCGGCTCTTCCTCCTATAACAGATCACACACTCTGGAGTTAAGTGGAACCATATTTTGCTTTGCTCAACGGGCAGCAGCGTGTGAGTCTGCTTCCTGCCACAGATCACAAATTGGCTGTTTTCTCATTATTTCGGTGCTAGTTTTAGTCTTACTCATTGTGAATTGCCTCCTGTAACTTTGAGCCCAGCAAAGCCCAGCAAAAGAAGACTCGTGCTCTTGCTCGTGTGTTTTCCATGGCTACCCCACATCACAAGTGTCATCTGGCTTGTGAGTCAGGAAGGACCGCTGGGGTGCCCTCGAGCAGAAGTGGGTGCTGGACCAGGGGTCAGGAGGTCCAAGTTCTACTCCTGCTCTGCCATTCCCTGAGCACATCTGAGCCTCAGATTTCCCCAGACTAAGATAGGGACAACAGTGGCACTCACACCACATGGTTCAAGAATGCTCCAATAACTCTACTCTGTAATCCACACGTAGAGGGTTTGTGAACCGGAACAATTTGGCTGGCATTGACCACAAGGCTGGGGCACCTCAAAGACCCTCAGTATATTTGATTTAAATTATCTAAGTTCCCTTTCTGCCTCTTCACACACCTTCAGCCTGTGTGCCCTCAAAGCAAGAGTCCCAGTTCTGCTGCATTCTGGGGCATCCCCAAGATCATGCTAACCTGTGATGTTGTGTCTGCCTAGAGATCTCCCCGTCGACCAGCCTTAAATCCATAATGAAAAAGAAAGAGTATGGCTTCCGTGCAGGAGGTAATGGGACCAAAAAGAACCTTCAGTTTGTTGGGGTTAACGGTGGGTAAGCATCGCTCGTGAAGCCCAGCCTACCTCTCCTGCTGTTGTCCTAAGCACTCTCTTTTCCTAGGGGAAGCATCTGGTTTTCATACTTCTTCAAGGGAATTAATCTCAACGGCCCTTTAAAACTCCCTCTCGGGTCTGCATGTGTTTGGCTTCTTGCCAGCTATGGTAGTCTGTGGGATCCTGTGCTTTTAATATGTCTTGGCTTTGGTGTTCCCTGGGGCCAGGATTCTGGTGCCTTCTGCTAGCTTGGGGACACATGAGCCCTTTAAGGAAGACGTTTAATCTGAACCATAACACTGAACCTAGGACAAGTTCTTAATTTGTAGAACTTCAGATTTCATCCTTTTAATTTTTTCCTTCCTTTAACTAACTTATGGCAAACCAGACCAACTTTTTTAGGATGAAGAAAAATGATCAATGTCTATTGACTCAGAACGTGAACCAGACCTTATATAGTGTAGAGAGTAAATCACTGGATTTAGAATATTTTCTAAATCAGTCATTCAACAAACATTTATTAAGTACCGATGATGTGTTTGGTGGTAGGGATAAAAAAAGTCAAATAAATCGTTGTCCCTGCCTTTAACTCACAGTTTGGACATGGGCAGAGATAAGACAGAAGTAAAGGGAGAATGCTAACAGGATGAGATGAACTCTAGTAGAGAAAGAAGTGGAGGGTGGTGGGAAAGCCCAAAGCAGGGGCACCAGGCCCAGCCAGGGGTGGGCCCAGGAGGCTGCCCGGAACAGGTCGGAACCCCTGCTGATTTGGGTGAGACCAGAAGGAAGACACCCAATTCAGACAAGGGTGACGTCACTACTGTGGCAGGTTCTGTGAGGGAAACGTCAGAAAGATTGAAATGGGATGTCATAGGAGGATTGCTGTTCTCATGCCAGTGCAGACACTGTGGCCAGAGGAGAAACCATTTTTTTCTGAGCTTTCCCCTGTTTGTGTACAGAAAGCAGAATCAGACTAACCTCAAAGTCTAAAGCAGGTCCCATCTCTCCCCTGCTTAAATACTTGCAAAAGTGCCAGCTTTGTTTTTTTAATATTTATTTATTTATTTATTGGCTGCGTCGGGTCTTTGTAGTTGTGGCACACGGGCTCAGTTGCCCCGTGGCACGTGGATTCTTAGTTCCCCAATGAGGGATTGAACTGGCGTCCCCTGGATTGCAAGGTGGATTCTTAACCACTGGACCACCAGGGAAGTCCCCAAAAGTGCCAGCTTTGTACCAAAACCTGGAGGTCCATCTCGTGACTACAGCCTGCCTCATCCCCCATCACTGGCTCCGGGCTTTCTTCCCTTAAACATGCTCAGTCAGGCTGATCTTGGGGCCTTTGCATTTGCTGTTTCCTCCACTTAAAGCTCTCTCCCAGATGTCCCTCAGTATCTGTCAGTCTGGTGCAGTGGTTCTCAACCTTGACTGCACCTTGGAAACCCTGGGGGAGCCTTAAAAATACTGATGCCTGGCTCCCCCTCCTGGAATACTCCGGTTTAATTAGTCTCGGGTGCAGTACAGGTATTGGGAACTTTAAACACCCTCAGGTGATTCTAACATGCAGCCAACGTTAAAAACTTCTGCTCTAATTATATATATATATATATATATATATATATATATATACACATACATACATATTTTCCATTTTTAACATGCCAAGTTGGAGCAGAATCTTTTTCTTAAGTTTACTAATTTAATAATTATAAAACACTTTATTATTTAAATTTTCTGTGTGTTACTTTACTGGCAAACTAATAATATAATTTGTCATTCTATTCTTCTTACATACTTTCAACTCTAATAATTTTGACTGCCCAGTAGATATATTTGATCATTTCCCAAATGACTAAGAATACATATGAACTTTGGTTTGATCTGTATACATCTTCATTTAGCCTTTGCCAATAAAATTTCCTAGGGCAGTTTCCTGTTCTCTCTCTGGCTGAGATTTTAATTCTTCCTCTAAATTAAAATAAGCCATGATTTAAATTCCTGTGATTAAGTGATAGATATGCTGCTGGTGCTTAACAGTATTTAATTAATACTCTTTAATTAAAAGTGAAAATTTCCTTCCCACACCCTTTGAACTATAATTACATCTAGGGATTGCTACTGTGTTTGCTAAGAACTTACCCAGAAGACACAAATGGGAAATATTCTGCATAGAGCACCAGATCCTAAACTGAGACTAATGTTCATTCCATTATTTTTCCCTACTTAGAATTTAAGCTCAGTTACAATAGGGACGTTGGTTATAACATTTAGAACAGTGCCTGGCACATAGTAGGTATTCAGTAAATGTCTGTTGAATGAATGAATGAACTTCCAGGTGGAGCTTTTTGAAGCAATTCTAAGATAAGAACCGTTTGGTAAACTTAATATGTCCCGTTTTCTTAATCACAAAAGCAAAACGTTGTGCCAAGCACAGTAGAGGAAGAAATATCTGGGGTTTGAACAAGACAGAATGTGAGCATACCAGGGAGCAGTCTGGGTTTGCAAATCCAGTGAGCACAGGGCCTTTACATAGGGACCACCATTCAGATAAAGGGCATGAGGGGGTTCAGTAGAAGCTGTGGTCACTGGTCTCCCCTGGTCTCTGTGGCAGTGCCAGTAGGTCAAGAACCCGAAATCTTCATCTTAACTGGAGCATCCTCCACTGGAGGTCTCCTGTTGACCATCAGCAGAGGGATCAATACATCTTCCAGAACTTTCCTCTCTGGTCTCTGGTCTGCCACCTCAATAGAGTTGCATATAACTGAACATGAGGATCATTGCTGGGGAGGGAAGGCCTGTCAAGTGGCCCACGCCCTCACTTTTGCTGTTTTAAGCCGTGGTTGAAACAGCAACTGAGAAAGGCAGGTGCTAGGTTCAAGTATCCCAACTGTTCACGTGTCCCATGGAACCCTGCCAGGTGTGAACACAGATGGTTCCTCCCTTGTCAGCTGAAAGCTGGGATAGAACAGGGCGGCCAAAGGGAGGCTTCACAGTCACCCAGAGATGTGAAGATTTGTTAGGCAATTCAGAGAACTCAGGGTGGGGGACGTTTGCCTAGATCTGGGTCCCTCTCAGGACAGGACATTAGGGTTCCAGAATCAAACTCTTCCATGAGAGCCTTGGATACCTGGATCATCTGAATGCATCGACCAATTAGGCCATGGGCTGTTTGTGTGTTTGTTGCAAAGAGCTTAGTTAATTACCCTTTTCCCCAAGTGGCCTCCAGCGATAAAGGTACAGAGCTCTTAAAAGCATGTTCCTCTGACAGTAGGTTTCCTGGGAGTCCCCTTGCCCAGCACTGCAAATGTAGAGAATGGAGGACAAGGCTAGCAAGCATGGAAGTGTTATTTAAAGCCCACCGAGTTCTCATTAGTGTTGACACGAGCATCAGGCAGGAAGCACGGAACTAGTGACCTTGTCTCCTTTCCCAGCTATGAGACCACCTCGAGTGAGGAGACCAGCAGTGAGGACACCTCCCCAGAAGACTTGTCTGACAGCGAGGCTGAGAAGAAATGTGATGGCCCAGAATCTAGGCGGGGCAAGGATGCCCACCTCAGCTACAAGGCGGGGCAGGGCATTCCCGAGGGCACCCGTGACACGGACCAGGAAAGCGGGCCTGGGGAAGAGCTTCCCCATCCCAAGGCTGAGAGGTGAGTCAGATGGGGACAGATGGGGCACTTGATCCTCTGAGAAAGAGCAAGGACATTTATTCACCCTTTCATCTGGTCGTTTGTTAATTCATTTATCCATCCATTCACCAATATTTACTGAGTTTCCAATCTATGCCAGGTTCAGTGCATTGGTTAAACTAAACAGATCTAACTTCTGCCTTCCTGGGATATACTGTCATAGACAGAGCTCTGCATATGAAGCTAACATGGCCTTAGCACTGAAAATGTGAGGGACTCTACAGGTATTCTCTAGATGTAATCCTTCTAACAATCTGTAAGGTAGAAATTATTATAAGCCCCACTTTACAGATGTGGAAACAGAGGCTTCGAGAAGTTAGTGACACAGCTAGCAGAGATGGTGTTTCAATGCATGTCTTTTGTGATTCTCCCACATGTTTTCCTGTCTCTCCCTTTGGCCATACTGACATAACCCTGTTTTTGAAAGTGATGAGAGGTCACATGGCATGATGAAGAGAGTACTGACTTTGGGGTTGGACACACTTGGATTCAAATCCTACGTCTGCCACGGTGTTATTTAGCTGCGTTCATCTCAGTTTCCTCATCTGTAAAATGCGGATAGTAGCAACCTGATAGATTTGATCTGAGGACTGGATGAGAAAAAGTATGTAAAAAAGTATGCAAAATGCCTCCTGCAGTGCCTGCCACATAGTAGGCTCTTGATAAATGGGAGAAATGAGAATAATAAGTACCATTCATTATCGTTACCATCATCCCCAGCCTGGTTGCTGAAGGAATGATGAGCAGTGAATGGCAGCTGATTGTCCAGCAGTGCCGCAGGGCTGCTCCAAAATAGCAGCACTGTAAGGACAAGATGAGAGCGGAGCTTCTCGGTGACCAATGCCATTGACTCCCAGCCTAGGCCTCTCAGTGCTGAGTCTGCCCTTATACTAGCACAGGAGGAGTGCGTATCATTGAGAGCGCCCCAGCTTAATCGATTTTCATTTTATTGACTCAATTAGCACTTACTGTATCCTTCATGGAAGAATAACCGCAAGAAATTTGCTGCTGTGCATTGAGTCCTTTGGATTTGTCAAGTCACTCAGGCAGAAAATGTTGGCTCCAAAGTCGGAAAGATAACTCTCCCTTTCCCAGCGTGTCAGGAATGGCATTTGGGCCTGTGGCCCCTAAAATGCTTTGGTGGTCTGCTCCTGCCCCCCGAAAACAGCAGAATCCAAAGGACAATGCACTTAACTCACTCTTCAGAAGAGTTCAGAAGCCAAGCCCCCTCGTCAGGAGGCTGTGTTCACCCAGTATTTCTGAGGAATGCCCCTGACCCTGGGAAGTTGCCCAGTTTGGGTGTTTGAGTCGCTGAGAGGTAAAAGATGAGAGTGAAAGTCAAGGTAGGGGACTTTTTTTTTTATCAACATGGATACTGATATATATATATATATATACACATACATACATATATATTTTTTTCTTTAGATATAAACCCTCAGAGGAATTCCTTAATGCATGCCGGGCATTGAACCAACATCTGCCAGAAACTGGATCGACCACTGACCAGCTCTTGGTACTCTGATTTTTCATCATCATGTAAAGATTTCTATACAGTTTAAGTTTCACCTGGGTGACTTGGGTCCCGTGCCTGAGGCAGCAGTGTGGGTGTGCACGGGTCCCTGTCCGCTGGCTGTTCTCTCATTTGCCCAAACTCTGCTACCCAAGGTGATGGATTGTGCTGAGAAAGCGGAACCCATGCATGTGCACAGGAACCAGGCCTGCGGCTCAGAGGCATTTACCAAGTGTTATTAGGCGTCCCAACCTGAATGTGTCATAGAACTTTTGTGGCTTAGGCTCAAAATTGCCTCGCGGTTTGAGAGAACCGTGAGTAGAGCAGAAAAGAGCGGGTGGAATGGGAACCATGGTTCTACTCCCAGGACCGCTAGATAGCGGTGAGATATTCAGTGAGTCAGTTCAACGCTTAGGGCCGTGATTTCCTCATTAATAAAAGGAAGGTGGTGGACCGCATGTCTCCACTACCCTCAAGCCCTGGCATTTCATTCTGTAGTCTTTACTGTTTTTCTTGAAGTGCATCTATGGGTCAAGAGACCAAAAGCAAGAAAATACATCTGTTTGTTCCTTAATACCATCATGGACCATGGAGATTTAAACATGTAAGGATTAGCTTCTGCTTGAATCAAGAGGTACTGGCACAGACACATTTTCCCAAGTCATGAGAGCAACTGATAAGACCCAATGTGTAACAGCTTGTAAGCGTTTTTAAAGCCCATTTTGTTCTCCTTTGCGGAAGAGCCTTAGGAGTAAAAACGATTGATTAGCCCATTTTCATGAGTATTTTATCTTTGCTGATTTGGCAAATTACTTGTTCCCAGATTGTTAAAGAACCAATATGTGAGGTGGTTGTTGATTAAAGCTCCTGCTACTTATTCTTAAATGAATTTCAGAGCTAAGTTATTTCTTAGATCTTCATTTAAAATCTACCACTATGTCCCTTAATATTAGGAACTTTCTCCAGATTCTCCTGAAGATTCCATGGGTAAAGGAGATATTCTGATATATAAGAAGTGTTTCAGCCACAAAAGGTTCCACTGTTTCTGCCTAGAAAATTGATCAGAGGACATACAAACCTGACATCACACCCACTTTAGGATCAAAGCACAGGACACCCCCTCTCCACCTTAGAGACAAAGCAGGCTGTGCAAGGACCTCACTCTGTAGAGCATGGGAAGTTAGGGACCCAGCCGTTTTTTCACCACCATTTTGTAGACCAGACAGGAAAGATTCAAAAAGGTTATAGGACTTCCAAGGTCACACAGCTGAGCCAGGACTTATGCCTGGCCCCTAGGGTGTAGTGACTCCTAATTCAGTGCCCTTTCCAGAATAAATATGAAATCATCTCTAATAGTCACAGCCTCATCATTTCTCCTCCCCTTTAGAAAAATAATCTAGTCATGTTCCATTTTAAACACTTAGGTCATGTCACATGCATAGTTGGTGGCATTTGCATTCATGGTTATAAAGGAGCTGAATACTGCAGATAGTGCGGTCCTGCCATGGGTTGTTACGCCATTTTCTCTGAAGGTCCTAGCAAAACTTAAAAGCCAAAAATAATTCAAACACATCTGTTTGGGTTTTACTTCAAGCATAAATTGGGCATGTTGTTTGTCTTAGCTTTCAGTGTGCATTTTTCCCATTAGTAAAATGTTGTGACTTTCCAGCTATGCCTGTTAAAAACATGCACATGCCCTGGTGGAGTCTGGGCTAGGGTCACATAGGCTGGTATAGACACGTGAAAGAGGGGGTCATGGTTATCCTGTGCGTATGGGGGATGTGATCAAAACGTACAGTAGACTCAAACTGTCCCCGAGTAATGTGCTGTGTTATTGGCTATTGTGTTGCTGTCCCAATCCTCCTGTCTACCTCATATGGGGGACTGATCCCACGGGTTCAAAGTGTGCTGCTGCATGGGGACCCCACTAGCTCTGAGCCCTCTAGGAGTTAATCACATGGAGATTTGGAGGGAGCTGAAGGGATAGAAATGGAACCATCCTAAGCTGACCTTTCCTAGTGGAAATTAACACCCCAGCTGGAGCACCCAGGTAGGTAACCTCCCTGGAACTGGAATCTATTGATCTTTCAGAAGCAGAGCTTAAATACCATCAGTCAAGAGTGGTTCCGGGTCTCCAGCCGGAAGTCATCCAGCCCTGCTGTGGTGGCCACCTACCTCCGCGGGGTCCAGCCTCACTCCCCACACTTGCTAAAGCTGCTTGTCAACCTGGCTGATGGCAATGGCAACACAGCTCTTCACTACAGCGTATCCCACTCCAGCTTCTCCATCGTGAGGCTGCTGCTGGAAACAGGTCAGAAATGGCTGCATCTGTGCAGCCTGGGTCCCTCTGTGACAGCCAGTTCTTGTTCCCACTTCTTTCCAGCGAGGAGATTCTTCACTGTTCTGAGTTCCTCCTGTGTTCTAGGAGCTGGGCTAGACCATTTTTTCCTTTATTATGTCATTTATTCTTCACAACACTCTTGTGATGTGGGTATTATTGTTCTCATGTTACAGTTGAGGAAACTGAGGCTGAGAGAGTGATAAAACTTGCTCAGGTCACAATGCTGGTAAGTGGTAGAGTCACACTTCATATTCAGTTGGCCCAGCTCCAGATCTACGCCACACTGCCTCTAGGAAAGGTCACATTTTCCATCTTCATAAGTACTTTGTAACAAAAGTCACGGCTCCATTTGATCAGTTTGACTCAGTTTGATTCATTCACCCTTCATCAGATATCTGTGAACTACGTATGAGGTCCATACTGACTACCACCAGAGATGCAAAGGTGAGCTAGGCGTGAGTCGTCTTCTCCCCAGGAGCTTACAGCCTGACAGTCAGGATGGACAGCATGATGGCTCACCAGAGAGAGGTGCAGAATGTGATTTCAGGGCTCAAAAGAAGTGAGATAATACCTTGTTTAGAGAGCAGGAAATGTGCACTGCAGCGGGTAGGTTCTGGCAGACAGAGAAACGTCCCAGGCCATTGAAAAAGAAAATATCAGGAAGAAAGAAGATTGTCCACTGGGTCAAATACTGTACTGCAGTGTCCCTGAAGGATGATGCCTGGGGTTGGTTGGCAGATTTGGGAAGGAGTCACTGATGACTTTGGAAACAATTGTTTCAGGGGCCTGTTGGGAGGAAACCAGATTTCACAAGGGAAAGGAGTGACGTTCATGGGCTGGGGAAGGCAGTGATGTAGCATGATAGCTGGAGGAGGCAGGAGAGGATGGGGAGAGTTATTTTTGAGTAATGGGGCTGGAGGAGGCCTGAATATGTCTGTTGGCTGAGAACAAGAATCCGAGAGAGAGAGACGCACACACACACACACAGAGAAAGGGGCAGACAGAGAGAGACAAAGAGAGAGAGAGAGAGAGATTAAAGACGCAAAGGAGAGAAGATGCTTGAGGGAGCAAGGTTTTCGAGGAGCTGGAAAAACCTGGAATCCACAGCACAGGCAGACGAGGTCAGCATAGGCAAGCTGCTGGGATATTTATTCCTCCGAGATGGAAGCAAAAGGAAGGGAGGGTGGGTGAAGGTCCAGAGGGATTGGAGGAGGAGAGAAGGGAAGTGAGCATTAGGTTCTTAATTGTTGGAAGTCTAGAGGAAGGGAAGACTCTCCCCTCTGGTGGAGAATCATTGCAAATGGTCTTGCTCATCTTAGGGGCTGGAAAGGGCGGTTAATAGTCAAACAAAGAACTCTACGTCTGCCGAGACGACCTCACAGGGCTTAGAGTGGAGTTTCTGCAGAGCGAGTGACAACATCAACCAGCCTAGGAGTGCCTGTGTGGACAGGCGGGGGATGGGGCCGACTGAAGGTGTGTGGGTCCCAGTCGAATGTCATCAGTGAGCTTACGAAGGCTGTATGAGGGATATCTAGGAGGGTACCTACAAGAGGTATAAAACCGCAAATGATCTACACGGATTAGGCCCTCTGCTAAGCACCTGGCACCTGAGATGTCATTTAATCGTCATAACGATCCTGTTATTAGGACGATTATTCCTGTTTTATAGGTGATGAAAGTGACACTCCGTAAAGTCAACATACTTGCTCTAGATCATGCAATGACTAAGTGTGTTGCTGGGATTTGAAGTCGATACCGTGGCAACCAGGAACTAGAGCACATGCTAGAACAGTACACTCTTACTTAGGAAGCTGGAGGGGGAGTTTAAACAGGCATCAGGAAGTCTGAAGTTTGGATCCAACAGCTTCCCCCCAACTTGTATCTTGTCCTCCGCCCGCCCCCCCTTAAATCCCTCCCACGGCTTCCCCTTGCTCTTGGCCTTCAGGAATCCCAGATGGCCTGGTCCTGCCTGCCCTTGCTCTCTCTGCCACCACCATGCACCCTCCTTCCCTCCACTCCAGCCACGTGTGGGCCTCCAACTCACCACGCTCATTCCCTCCTTAGGACTTTTGCATTTTCTTTCCATCTGGACCCTTTTCCCTGAAACTATTCTCATGACTGGCTTCTTCTCATCATTCAAGTCACAGCTCAAATGTCACCACAGAAGGCTTCTTGGTGATCCATCTAAAGTGGCTACCCCATCTCTCTCTAGCAGTGCACCAAGTTTCTTTCTTCAGGTGATCTTTGCTTGTCACTTCTCTCTGAGTCTAACAGAACTCAGTTAACCCGAGGGAGGCTCTTGTCTGTCCCCTTCCTTTCAGTATCCCCAGCACCTAGACCAGTTCCTGGCTCATGGTGGGTGTCGAGTGAAAATATGTGTTAGATGAACGAGTGCACGGATGATTCCTGGGAGCTAGGTTAAATTCCAGTAAACCTTCATTCTCCAAAATTCCATTAAGCAGCCTTGAGGCTCTTTACCTGCATGGAAAGGTGATGTACATAATGCCAGCCTGAAGTTCTTTCTGCATCATCAGAGGAAGACGAAGTTACAATTCTAACATTCTTCAGGGATTCATGGATACCCTAAAAATGGTAGCTCTGTTGAGAAAGGCACATAATTAAAGGAGCATGCCTCTGGGTTGCATTTACTGTGTTCAGTGTTAGTGCCTTTCATTATAGAATGTGAATAACAACACCACCTACTGTTTGTTGAGTGCCTTCCCCAGCCCAAACACAGTGCAATACTACCATATGCAGTCCTTGCGGGGATTGTGAAGCAGATATTTAATGCATTTTCCAAGTGAGACAACTGAGGCTCAGAGAGGTCAAGTTCTGTGGTCAAGGTCACAGAGCCAGTAGGTAGCTAAGCCAGAATTCTAACCATGATCTGTCACCCTCCCAACCTGGGCTTTTTTCTACTACCCGAAGCTAGGTTCCAGGGACACTGTGAGACCTTAGGCACACCTATTATGTGCACAGAAACTCTAAAGATCCATAATGTAGCACCTTCATCTCTAAGTAGCTCACAGGCTTGCAGCCTGTTAGAAGTCCTCTGGTTGGGCCAGGCCAGGCTGGAGAACAGACAACCTTTGATTTGTTTGTTATAAATTTCTGCTGATGTTGTCCGAGATCCAGGCAATACTCATCAACCCTAAAGTGGTTTGGAAGCTTTCCCCTTTAACATGCTGAAATAGCACAACAGCCGCAAGCATAAAGAATGAAGGGGGCTGGGGAGACGGTCTGAAAGCGCCATTCCTCTCCCTCACTGTAGTAGGGGTGTTGAGGAGGGCAGATCTGTCCCACTCCAAACTGGGCTCCCTTCCCAGCCATTTGTGAAGCATCTGGAAAGCACATGACAAACTGTAAAGGGCTGCACAGAAGTGACTCATCATTATTGAGAATAGAGCCATGGGTTCACCTCCACCCCTTTAGTCCGTTGTGATCCGTCCTCTATTTCGCCAGGATGCCTCTGCAGAAGAGGAAGCTGGCCGAGTTGGAGGATGTACAGTCAAGAGCCTTCTCCTCACCTCCGGGGAGGTTGGTTTGCTCCCTGGAGCTGCTCAGAAACATCTGCTGTGAAAGCCAGGTGTCCTCAGCCCCTTTTCAGAGCCCCTGGGTAAGAGTTAGTTCTCACTCTACTGAGTTATTGGTCACGTTTCTGAAGAGAGTATAGAGAATCGTAACCTGAGGCTCATTTATGCATCTTAAAAGCAAACATAAAATAGTCACGGGGTAAAAATTTTAAAGTCATTAACGTGGCAACGCAGATATTCCCGTCTTTATCAGAACAGAGTTGTGAGGCGATGCATGGAGTTATTATTCGGCTTTCATAGCCCAGCTTGTCATGACAGTGGTCAGAGAGGCTTCAGGCGAGGAAATTGCTGATACATGAGCCCAACTGTATCCATTGGCATCCTGGTCCACTATGACACATTTCTGAAAAATTGTTTGGGATGGAGTGGAGGGAATGTCAAACAAATATTGTTGGGTTTTTTTCCCTTGCACAGAACTTTTTTTTTCTTTACATCTTTATTGGAGTATAATTGCTTTACAATGGTGTGTTAGTTTCTGCTTTATAACAAAGTGAATCAGTTATACATATACATATGTTCCCATCTCTCTTCCCTCTTGCATCTCCCTCCCTCCCACCCTCCCTATCCCACCCCTCTAGGTGGTCACAAACCACTGAGCTGGTCTCCCTGTGCTATGCGGTCCCATCCCGCTAGCTATCTATTTTACGTTTGGTAGTGTATATATGTCCATGCCACTCTCTCACTTTGTCACAGCTTACCCTTCCCCCTCCCCATATCCTCAAGTCCATCCTCTAGTAGGTCTGTGTCTTTATTCCTGTCTTACCCCTAGGTTCTTCATGACATTTTTCTTAAATTCCATATATATGGGCTAGCATATGGTATTTGTCTTTCTCTTTCTAACTTACTTCACTCTGTATGACAGACTCTAGGTCTATCCACCTCATTACAAATAGCTCAATTTCGTTTCTTTTTATGGCTGAGTAATATTCCATTGTATATATGTGCCACATCTTCTTTATCCATTCATCCGACGACGGGCACTTAGGTTGTTTCCATCTCCGGGCTATTGTAAATAGAGCTGCAATGAACATTTTGGTACATGACTCTTTCTGAATTCTGGTTTCCTCAGGGTATATACCTAGTAGTGGGATTGCTGGGTCATATGGTAGTTCTATTTGTAGTTTTTTAAGGAACCTCCATACTGTTCTCCATAGTGGCTGAACCAATTCACATTCCCACCAGCAGTGCAAGAGTGTTCCCTTTTCTCCACACCCTCTCCAGCATTTATTGTTTCTAGATTTTTTGATGATGGCCATTCTGACTGGTGTGAGATGATATCTCACTGTAGTTTTGATTTGCATTTCTCTAATGATTAATGATGTTGAGCATTCTTTCATGTGTTTGTTGGCAATCTGTATATCTTCTTTGGAGAAATGTCTATTTAGGTCTTCTGCCCATTTTTGGATTGGGTTGTTTGTTTTTTTGTTATTGAGCTGCATGAGCTGCTTGTAAATTTTGGAGATTAATCCTTTGTTAGTTGCTTCATTTGCAAATATTTTTTCCCATTCTGAGGGCTGTCTTTTGGTCTTGTTTATGGTTTCCTTTGCTGTGCAAAAGCTTTGCAGTTTCATTAGGTCCCATTTGTTTATTTTTGTTTTTATTTCCATTTCTCTAGGAGGTGGGTCCAAAAGGATCTTGCTGTGATTTATGTCACAGAGTGTTCTGCCTATGTTTTCCTCTAAGAGTTTGATAGTGTCTGGCCTTACGTTTAGGTCTTTAATCCATTTTGAGTTTATTTTTGTGTATGGTGTTAGGGAGTGTTCCAATTTCATTCTTTTACATGTAGCTGTCCAGTTTTCCCGGCACCACTTATTGAAGAGGCTGTCCTTTCTCCACTGTACATTCCTGCCTCCTTTATCAAAGATAAGGCCTTGCACAGAACTTATAAGTAACCCTGACATTTTGTCATAAACCAGATTTGTTGCAATGAAGCTCTAAGTCTTCAAGAGCAAGTAGCAAGGATGTAAAGACAAGAATAACCTTCTGGACAATAATAGTAATAACAGCTAACACTTATTGAGTGTTTATTACGTGCTAGGCGCTGTTCTAAGTGCTTTTAATACATTAACTCATTAACTTTCGCAGTACCCTTATAGGTACTGTTATTATCCCCATTTTACAGAAGAAATGCTAAGAAAATCTCAGACTTGCCTTACTGAGATAGTTTTATTATTGTCTCAAAGAGACACATAGATTTTTTGCATGAGCAACAGTACAGGAAAGATTTGGTTTTCCACACTGTACCGCTCTTATGACGTGGAAGCCTTCAGACAACAGATAACAGGCTGAAGATCTCCTACGTCTCCTTTCGTGGGAAGGGATGTGAATGCATATCCCCAGGGTCACAAAGCAGAAATTTCTTTTGAGTTCTCATTTAATACTTCATCTTAAAAATATGCCAGTTTTTCATTCTATTGTGAAATGTATATTCTTAATTGCTTTAATATAAAAATTTGTGGAGTGTTTTATTTTCCGCTCTGCTTTTCAAATGAAAATGGTTATTCCCGGAAGATTTCCCATGTTTATCCTGGGGTGTTTTTCATGTCCCCTGGTCCATTGCACAAGGTCACTAGCCTCTGAAAAGACCTACAACCATAGACAGCTGCTTAAGAGTTACACATAGACATAGAACCAGACCTGAAATACACACCTGTGGGTGACGTGAGGCCATGTGAGTGATGGGCTCTAGCGCCGGATAGACCTGAGTCCTGGTCTCACTTCTCCTTCACTTGGGCAGTTGATACAGCTTTACTGACTCTCAGGGTCCTCATCTGTAAAATAGGAATAATGTTTGTCCTCCACTTTAGGAAATAAAGTCAAGGTCATTGGCCCCCTTGGCCACCTTGACTCTCCTGTGGACCTTTCTTGCTCGGTATCCTCAGAAAACTTGTAAAGAAAAGTGGCCACTGTTAAAGGCTGCTAAAAATGTTGAACATAAATTCCACCACTGGGAAAGGATTGCTCTATTCTGTGGCCCTTTAACCAGCTGGCAGCATCCTGTTGAACAGGCTAAAGCTTGGCTTCCAGCCTCTCGGGAGCTGTTCCAGCTTCGGTGTTTCTCTTGCAGGCGTCTGCAATGTGGACCATCAGAACAAAGCTGGCTACACCGCCGTGATGATCACGCCCCTGGCTTCTGCAGAGACCGATGAAGACATGGCTGTTGTCTGGAAGCTCTTACGAGAAGGAGATGTGAATATCCAAGCTACTCAGGTAGGACGTGGGAACATGTTCTCCTCTTTAATGAACACGGGCACCTCCCAGTTTTATTCTGCCACTGGGGTGAGAAACTCCATGCAGATCCATGTAGAGTTTTTAACCCGAGAAGTCTGGGCCCTCCAAATGGCATCTGTCCAAAGACTGGACATTCAGTTTCCTCAGAGCCTCCTGAGACCCAGACAGGCTGGGACAGAGGTCATGAGCTTGTAATCTATGTCCCCGTCTGAAACTGGGCAAATTCCATCTGGGTCTGACTCCTCAAACCGAATGTTCCCACAGTTAGCACCCTGAGAAGGCGTTTAGTAGCTGTGTTCTAGAAACCCCCAGCAGGAGATCCACCTTGATCATAAATTACAAAGCAGTTCAGAGGGTTGGGATGTCTCTGTTCAGCTTCTGGGCCCTTCTACTTGAGAACACAGAGTAGGGGTGTGGCCCTTAGGCAGTAGACAAAGCTCCATATGGAACAGTGGGTATTCCTCGAAAGGCCACTTATCCATCTTTGACCAATAGAAGAATAAGTAGAGTGCATTCCACTCTCCATTTCCCCCTAGAGGGATCATCAGTGTAGCCTAACTCTCAAGAAGTATAAAGGGGGCTTCCCTGGTGGCGCAGTGGTTGAGAGTCCGCCTGCCAATGCGGGGGACACAGGTTCGTGTCCCGGTCCGGGAGGATCCCACATGCCGCTGAGCGGCTGGGCCCGTGAGCCATGGCTGCTGAGCCTGTGTGTCCGGATCCTGTGCTCCGCAACGGGAGAGGCCACAACAGTGAGAGGCCCACGTACCACAAAAAAATAAATAAATAAAAATAAAGAAGTGTAAAGGGTCTGAGATTTTACTCTACCTTAAAGCTAACAAGTGTCATGGATGCTGGCAGATGACCCAGGACTCTTGTGCAAGAGACAAAGGACAGTGTGTTACTCACAGCAGTAACAGTAGTCAGAGCATTGGTGTTTATACCAGTTCCCCAAGTCCCAATTCCCACTTCGCACAGGGCTGTGTGATGAGGGCCAGATCCCTGCACACAGAGTGGATTGTGTTACTGGGCAAGAACCCTGAGCTTAGGGAACCTGAATCTTTCATACTGCATAGTAAGCGTGTCTGCCCTCTGTTCTGGAGGGGACACTGTCTCTAAGCTCCAACGCTGTTCGTTGTACATTCATCCTTAAAAAGATAGTCTAGAACAAAAGGTCAGATATTGCCGGACTCACAAAATATGCAGAAAGCCAAGAGACCCATAGAAAATAGAAAATTGTCTCCCAACCACCTATTTAACTCTGCTCACCACCCCGACCCCAAAGTGATTGCAGACAGTAGCCTAACCTGATGGCAAAGTCTCTTTGCACACGTCACATACTAGCAATTCTATTGGTGGCAAGAAACAGACATTTGTAGCTTACTCTCTAGTTTTCAAAGTATCTTCACCCACCTACTCCACAGGACTCAGTAAAGCTGTTTTCATTTTAAATGATATGTTTTCCATAAACATATCAAATCTTTTTTTTTCTAAATTGGTCCTCTTGAAGGGGGAATGCTCACTAATGATCAAAATCAATGCCCTTCTTATAGAGGAGAAACCAATGCTCTAGGAGAGTAAGGGACCCATCCCAGGTCACCAAGGGAGGGATGGGAATTCATAGTGCAGCTGCACCCTTCAGCACCCTCTGGGGCTTTACATATGAGGGGAGCTGCAGGTACCAGGTTAAATAAGAGTGAGCTGGGAGGCCAGGAGTCTCCTGGGCTAAACTACTTATTTCTCTCTGTATCTCCAGGGTCAGCGCTGCACCGGGCCATAGCAGTGCTCTGTAAATGGTTGTTGAATTAAATTGTGTGGAGCCAGACCAGGAGGGAGGGGGCCCCAAGTCAGGCAGGGGGCAGACAGGAAGACATCTGCATATGTCATCTGGCTTTAATACCACTCAAAGAGAGGGGTCTGGAGGGAAACCTATGGTCTGGTTAGTGCAGTAAACAAGCGTTACCTCAGGGCTGAGCATAAGCAAACCAAAGAGCAAACAAGCTTCTCTGGAAAGATCTGTCTGGGTTCCAGAGAAATGGGGAACCAGGACACCTAACGATACATTCACACGTCCCAGGCGATAGTCAGACCTCATCTCTAATGCTCATGAATGCAATAATAGCTGAAGTGTACACAGCATCTGTGCCGCGCTCAGGCCTCACACCAGCCCCAGAAGGGAGGTAATGTCGTTAAGCATTCCGGCTTTACCAGATCAGGAAGAGTCACCGAGAGGTTAACTCGTCCAGATTCACATAAGTACAGAATGCGGCAAAGCCAGGATTTTTCTGATTGCAACCCCCTTTCTTTTCTCTAAGCCGCAGCCTTCCGGGCAGGGAAGCATAATCCATCAGTGACTGCAGATTGGAGCTTTAATCAGTGAACTCATCAGCCAACATATTTTACGTGTAAGACACTGTGCTCAGAGCCACAGGGGATCTGAGAGGAAAGAAACCAGTCCTTACCTCTTCTCACATCCCTACAAAGCCTGACAGTCAGAGAGACACGCCTGAGCTGCCTGGAACCCAGGAGAGAACCACGAGGGCAAAATATATAATCAAGTCGCATAAGAGGACTATGTATATACAGGAAAATCCAGGAAAAATGGTGATCAATTTGTAATCAGAAAAGTTACTGCCACACATTTTTATATTTATACCCTTTTCACAAAAGCCCTGTGAGGTATACAGGATGGATCATAACTATATTAATTTTAAAGAAAGAAAGACCAGGGTTCAGGGACACGAAGTGACGTGGCCAGGGTCACGCACTAGGAAACAGCAGAACCAGAGCTTGGTCTTACTTTCTGACTCTAATCCATTGCCATGTGCATTGATGATTACAGGGTTGTGAAAGATTGTTGTCAATGGCTATGGATTAGAAATGACCACAGGACCATGGAAACAGAGAGCTTCTTGAGAAAAAAGCATTCTGGGTATCATTCAACTGAAAATACCAGAGGTGTTCAGAGCAGCCCAAGACTTCCTGTAGGAAGTTAGGCTGGGGCAGGGAGTCAGAAGCCATGGTCCTGAAGTATTCAACCCTTCGTTTATTCCATCATTCAGCACTTATCAGCATGTACTTGGTGCTAGACACTGGAGAGACAGAGATGGAAAAGACTTAGTTCCTGCCATTAAAGATGTCACAGTCTATGAGAAAGAGAGAGGTTGACAGGTTGAAATGCCAAGTGGTAACTGCTGTGTTATGAGCCCTGTGCCTGGGGTGTTAGTAGAGGGCTTTAGAGAGGATGCAGCATTTGACTCGTGTCTTGGAAGAGGAGTAGAAGTTTACCAGGCCAAGGAGGATGTGTCCCTTACCACAGAGATTCAGGTCAATTGTCATTTTCCAGAGAAGTCTCTCCTGATTACACCCAGGCTGCAGAGGGGGTCCTTCCCATCAGCCCCAGCCTCACCACACCCCTGCTCTCTGTGTGCAGGGAGGCCAGACTGCGCTGATGCTGGGAGTCAGCCACGACAGGGAGGACATGGTCCAAGCGCTACTGAGCTGCCAGGCAGATGTCAACCTACAGGACCATGATGGATCGTCAGCCCTCATGCTGGCCTGTCGCCATGGCAACGTCGACATGGTCCGGCTGCTCCTGGCACACCCGGCCTGTGACAGCAGCCTGACTGACAAGGTGAGACTTATAGGCAATTAACAAGTGGGTGTTCCACTTCCCTTCCCGAAAAGTACCTTGCCAGCCAGCAAAATTCAAGGAACCATATGGCAGTAGGAACAGAATTGACCTCATAAGGCTGTTGTTGGATTTAAATGAGATGACCCATGTAAATGCTGGGAGACTTGGAGCTGAGAAACCCCAAACCCTAGCCTTTCACACCATTCTGAGGGATTGCACTCAGGCCTGGTCTTGGCCCTGAACCACATCTGGTCATGGCAGCATGTGGGCTTTTGAGGCAGCAGCTTGAGTAGGGAGGCTATGCTGTCCATGGGGCTCCCAAAGGCTGGATGAAGGAACCAAGTACAAATTGTGTCCACTCTTGGACAGTGACCTACCTTACAGAGTGGCCCATTTCATCAAGCCACCCTGCTTGAAGTTGCATTGCCAGATACATGCTTCTTGTTAGGTGATGGCGTTGATGATGATGGTGGTGGTGGTCGTGGTGGTGACAGTGATGAGATAACAATAGTAATAAAAGCTAACCTGTATCATATGCTGGCTTGGTACCAGGTACTGTAACAAGCAGTTACCACGGACTCTCTAGTTTAAATCCCACAACAGTCCTATTAGATTGACTCTGTTGATGCCACCCATTTGCTCATGGGGGAACGGAGGCCCTGAGTGGTTAAGTAACGTACCCAAGATCACACAGCTAGAGGAACCGGCTCCATCAAACTCCTAAGAACACTCACAGGAACTAACTCTTTCCATGCATTACCTCACGAATCCTCTCAGTAATCCAGGGAGGTAGATACTGCCATCCCCATTTTGTATTGATAAGGAAGCAGAGGCCTAGAGCGTTTATATAGCCGTCATAAGGTCACAAGCTGCTGATTCTTAAAGCAAGAATTTGAGCCCAGGTCTGACTTAATGCTGACACTGTAATTTAACGCTTTAAACAGACTTCTCTGTACTTTCTTAACACCCACATTTCAAAAGGAACAAAGGCTTGAGGGGGGAAAGAGGGGCCCCTCACCGCCCAGGGACAGCCCCTCTTACCAAGCCACATCTGAAAACGCCCTGCCACTGTTCCATCACTGATTCAAGCTGCTGGGTCCTTTGTACTGCACCCAGGCAGCAGGCACCCAGGCCCAGTATCTTCAGGTGCCACGAACTCCAGCTCTGCCCAGAGCCATTTCTGTGATCATTAGAGAGCACAGACCCTCTTGAAATGCTTGTGGGAACAGTGGTGGGCTCTGGAAGTAAGAGCCTCCTTTTCCAAATGTGATACAGTCAGATAAAGGCTCTATGTTAATGAGCTCCCTGCAGGGTCACCCTGGGGCAGAAGGAGGTGGCCCCTTAATCTGTAACAGGCCCAGGGCCCTCTTAGAAGTGACCAGTGCAGTTGGCCAGGGGAGGCCTGAGAGGGCAGGCCTGTGGGACGGGGGGCGGGAGCTTTGGAAGTCCCTGGTTAGCGGGGGTCATCAGGCATTGAGACTGAGTCTCCCGCCACAGATTAGAGAGCTCAGTAGCTGCTTTCAGTAGGTGGAGGTAGGGCTCTGTTGAACTTCAGACAAATCGAGTGATTGTTAGAAGCATGGACTTTAGAATTAAACACTCATGAGTTTGAAACAGGGTTCTGTGACTGTGTGCCTTTGGGCAGGTCACTTAACCACTCTGAGCCTCTGCATGCTTGTCTGTAAATGAGGATAGTAATAGACCAGACCTAAATACGGTAACGTTCGTAAAGCCCCTATTTGACATCTAGGAGATACTCAGTTGATGGCAACTGTTATTGTTGGGAATAGGTGAACCATGATAGCAAATACGAAGCAGCCACCACACGAATGAGTAGGGGCCTGGGCATTTGCAGGCAGTGTCTGGAGGGAGCAGGGAGGATGAAGGTCTGGAGTTAGAGGAGCCATTCAGAGGAGGCTGGAGCCCAAAGGGAGCAGTACTCCCATCTGGGAGTGATTTTGCCCTCTAGGGGAGATTCAGCAGTGTCTGGACACATTTTTATCTGTCATAAGTGTGTGTGGGGGGGCAGTCCTGGCATCTAGTGGGTAGAGGCCGGGGAAGCTGCTAAACATCCTGCAAAGTACAGGAACAGTGAAGAATTACAGATTATCTGGCCCAACATGGCAGTAGTGCCTCAGCTGAGAAACCCTGGTATAGGTGAGTGTTGAAATCCAGGTGGGATGAAATGCTGTCCCAGTGAAATGCTGGAGGTTGAGGACAGGCTGGTTGCAGTTCGGGGCAGCCTGAGAAGAAGGAACTAGGCAGCTAAACCGGAGATGGCAGCGGAAGCCTGTCTTAGGGGAAGGTGGAGAGCATTAGGGGATGCCCAGTGAGCACAGGGGTGCCCAAGTGATACAGGTGGCAGGCCCACAGAAGTTTCTAGACCTTGCTCACAGCCCAATCACCTGCTGCCTGCTGGGGACAGGGTTGACTCAGGAGTCACACCCAAATTTCCCAAAGGTGACTTGGATGAAAAGTTTCAGTGGGAGATGGGGACCGATGACTGGGTCTTGGCAAGCACCAAGCCCTGTGCCTCCAGCTTTGCATCGAAGGGTGGAGTCCATCCCTTATCATGATCACCATCTCGTTTCAACGTTCACTTTCCTATGGAGACTTAGGTACTCCCTTGGAAAACCGAAAGAGAAATCATGTCCTGAAATTGGTTTCTCTCATCCTACCAACATGTAAAGGTTGCTATAAATGGAGAACCCCCAGAACAGCCAGCAAGGCACCTTCCCCCCGTTTAGAAGGTAATTCGGGAAATTGGTCACCCAGCCTATTGGGACCACCAGAGTGACAAGAATGAGGAGGTGGTGGTGAGACCTGATCCCTGGCCCCCAAGGCTTACCCTTTGAAGGACTTGTTTGGGCAGTGACTCCAAAGCATGCATCAAAGTGAAAGCTTCTTGAAGGCATAGACTATTCCTTGTTCATCTTTGTCTGATATGTAGCGGCTTCTTGGTGAGTTTTTGTCATATTGAGAGATAACCCCCTACCACACACACAAACACACACACACACTCACACACAAGGTGTGCTGGCTGCCTGACCCCTTCGGGCTCTCTGGGCCTGCAGTGCTGCCGAGCAGGGACTTGCCGTGCTTGGCTTCCACCAGAGCTGCGGGCCGTGGGCTTGTTCCCAGGGCTCGGGCAGAGGCATCTCAGGGGCACACCCTCCCTAGATGGTCTCTCTGGCCACACTTTCTGAAATGAATGGGGCCCCCGCTTTCCATGTGTGTAGTTGAAAAGCCCACAGATGCAGGCTGTCATCTCCAGGTGGGCCCTGTTCAAGGGTGCACATGTCCCCTGGGACTGGCCCTGTGGCTCTTTCCCGTAATAACGTTAATCACACTGTCTCCTTGTTTACGTGGAGCATCAGGGTTGACAAAGTGCAGCAGGGGACAGGCCTAAATAAACCCAGGCCCCTCCGGTGGGGCTTTCACAAGAATCTTCTGTGGAAAATCTTTGCTTTCTTCCAGACTTGGCCAATCTAAGAACATACTCATTAGGATTTAGGTGGCTTAGGTTCTTCATCAACTTGAAATGAATACTCTGTTATCATCCAGCATTCCCTCTTTCAACAGTGCTTATTGAGGGCTGACCAGACTGCAGGCACGGAGCCAGGGGCTGGGCCAGCAGAACAGGCCAGATCCAGTGTCTGACCTTGTGGAGACTGAGATTTATCAAATAACCCCACAAATACCAACTTACAAAGACGGGTAAAAGGGGGGTACAAGGAATCATGAGGCCTTTTCAGGGCAAGAACTTCATCTGTCTTGGGAAGCCTGTCTGCTGAAATGCCACTTCCTTCCTCTCCCCACCCCCTGCCCTCCCCCCATATACACAGGGTGGTCATCCTGTCCCTTGAGCTCACTCTGTTCCTTTGCTGGCTTGTTTGGCCTTTGGCCATACATTATAGTTATTTACATGTGTGTGGAGCCCCGATGGCAGCTGGACTCCATCCTGGAGCACAGAGAACAGACTGAAGGGTTTTTAGCTGAGCATGAACACTTCCCACCTGCTTCCTTGGAGTTTCCACATTTTAGAAAGTAATTTCCCCCATCTGCAGTAGAGTGGAGAACACTTTAGCAGGGTCTTGGGTGGCCCCCATGTGTCAAACCCATTCATATTTATACAGCAAAATGTAAAAGTATTGATACTTAAGCAAGAACCAGAGATAACCTCACGTTTTGCCTCAAAATGAGTTGCCAAAAAAGTGGTTTTCAGAGCTGTTTAGATGTCAGAATTCTGGGTTTGGGATTGAGCCCTCGGAGCTCAGTGTCCACTGCATCATGGCGGTCCTTCCCCTCATCTCTGGGTAGAGAATG